ACGTACGTAGTACGTAGTACGTCGACGTACGTACGTACGAGTACGACGTAGACGAGACGTACGACGACGAGACGACGTAGACAGAGAGAGAGAGAGAGAGAGAGAGAGAGAGAGAGAACCAATCATTTTATCTAATTCCCTGGAAGAATGTAAAAGCCCAAATTTCAGATAAATGTGTGCATCAAGAGAGAACTACCCAGCTTTACAGAACCGAACCTCGGTTTTTCTTTGTTCAATATTTTTCAGTTAACTAATCTCCCTAGTATAAGAATTCCAATTGATAACAATTCACTGTGTGCGTTTTTGCACATTTCACATACCAATACACAGGTAACTGATCAAATAACCAATGCTAAATAGAAAGCACATACCATTCATAGATACGCTGTAGTCCACCTTCAGAAATACTATCCCAATGAGCAGGGTTTTTCTTTGACTTCTCAAAGAAATCGACCATAAGCTCAGCTGCCTTATCTCCATGGTAGGGGTCGATATGGAATCCAGAGCTCCCATGAACTATAATCTCAGCAGGCCCACCATTTACAGTGGCAAAAGTGGGTAGACCACAAGTCATGGCTTCCACAACAGTAAGCCCAAAAGCTTCATAGAAAGCAGGCTGAACAAAGAAAGATGCGTAAATTTAGCATAAATGCAGAGATCACTTGCAACACCTTGCAGTACTTAATACAACTAACAGTCCATTAATACAGCATATAAAAGATGCTGTGTGATTTTGAATAAAAATGGGTATGAAATGATTTGGCTGTTGTAACAATTTAGTAAGTTGTAATTCTAATTTCAGATGTCAAACCAACCACTCCCAAAATAAGCCATGATAAGTGCCACCCACTTTTGGGAAGGTTAGACATTTCCTATGACAAAGAATGACTTGGATGCATAATACTTTCAATATGCATGAAAATCATGTAGCTCCACAAGCAACCCCAAACACTACCAATAAAAAGCAGTAATAAGAAATGCCACCCACTTATGAGGTCGAATTTTTCCTTCAAATAGAATGAATTCGAAGCATAATAATTTCAACATTTTTGAAAATCACATAGTTCCACAAGCAACGCTGACCATTACCAAGAAAAGTGATGGGCCAAACATACTTATCATGTTTTTCATGGAATTAAAAGCCCACAATCTCTCTCTTGTAGGTAGTTTTTAATTGGGGTGCTTTTGTGGAGTTTTAGAGAGGGTTCCGGACCATCTTCTAAAGTAATTCCCTAATTCCCAAACGTTCAAAGAAAGAATATGTCATCTAAAGGTTCATGGGGGTATAGAAACATGTACCTGTACAAAAGCACCCCTTGTGTCTGCTATATAACGGTAGACCTCACCATTACGCACCCTATTCGTCTGGGAACATATCCAACGGAAATCACCATTCAAATTGTATTGCTTCATGAGGTTATGCATTTTCTCAATCTCAGATATTTCTTCTCTATCACTAGATTTCTTCACATCAATGTAGCCTGCAACCACCACAAGGTTAACAAGCTCCCTAAGCTTTGCATTCTTCCCAAATAACTCGACCAGCCCCGATATATTCTTGACACGATCAAGTCTAGCCATTGAAAATATAAGTGGCTTTTTCCGGTCATTGAGAACACCACTGAAAAAACACCACTAAAGCAGTCAGTAAAATTGCTATGACACCATATAATCACAAGAGAGTAACAAAAAAGCCCAAGTGCGTTTGAAGCTTCATTGATGAGAAAAAAATAATACTCACACATGCTCGTCATTCTGAACTGGACTGTAGAGCATTTCTTCAATTGAGGGGTGGAGAGCAGTGAGACGCTTTTGCTTCTCAGTGAATGGGAAGTAGATGCTCATGTCGGCTCCTGGAGAAACAATGTTGAATTTGGGATCAAAGACATCAATCCCATGAACCACACGATAAAGGCCAGGAAGAGTGAAGGCAGTGTGACTCTCATATTGCCCTACTGTATCTTTGCTGAATTGACAAAGAGAAATACATAATGTCAGCATAAAGAGAAATACATAATGTCAGCATAAACAAGAGACAAGAAAAACGCTTTGAAGTCCAGAGTTCCAAATATAAACTAGATGCATTTTAATGCAATATTGGAATGGGAAAGAATAAATACCTTCCTGCAATCTCCTGGTATGTACTGGTGATAATGAAATCAGTATGGTTCATTGCAATAAGATCAGCCGTAAATTGGCACGAAAAATGGTACTTTTCATCAAATTTTCTCCAATATATATCGGAATCTGGATACTTAGTTTTCTCTAAAGCATGAGCAATGGTGCACTGCATAAAAGAAATAACTGTCATGGAAAGCACAGATGCAACCTTTTTTCCTTAAGCAGAGATGCAAATTTTGGACAAGTATGCAAAAGCTCAGAACACTAACCTGTGTAACTCCTAGCTTGTGCGCCAGCAAAGAAGCCACAAGGTTTCCATCACTGTAGTTGCCAATGACGAGATCTGGCTGCCCCTGTAACTCTGCGGCGATCTCGTTTGCCACTTCCTGAGAAGTAAATCATCGCATTGAATTTTGAGGAAATACACCAGCTATAAATAAAAGGATCACATTCATGCACCCAAAGCCCCACTTATTTGACCACAGAAAACAAGTTCATCAAATATAGCACCCCTTAGAAGTTTTGCAGGTGTTACATTGAAACCTTTATATGTGCATAATTGCTTATGAATGGCCAACATGTGAAATACATGTAGGCATAATTTGGTCATTTACATGATTACATTTCATTGTATCTCATGGAAACATACATAAACATTATTCCCTCATTATGCAAGTATGCAATAATTTTCATCTGAACTGGCCTAAGTGATGGGAGTCCCGCGAAGAATGTGATGTGGAGATGTAGTTTATTCATTAAAAAGAAAAAATTTAATGGCCACAAATTCTACAAATAAAAATTAAAAAATACCATAAATGAGAGAGATCCATCAACTTCCTAGAAAAAGAAGCCTCCCTATTGCTGAAAGGCCCTGGACAACCTTACAGGAAAATAAATGACAGAAGAAAGTAAATAGACTTAAATAGACCAAGTTTTACCTCTGTAAAAGTCTCCAAGTAAGGCCATACATCAAAGCGTGAGATCCAATGACGTAGAATTCCTTTCTCAGTTCTGAAGGGCACCCGCAATATATGAGTGTGCTGCGTTCCACTGATTCTTTCCAAACGTTGGTTGCAAGTTGTTCCTCCTGCTTCAGGTATCAATCGAGTCACCTGGGTTCATAAGCAGAACAAAAATAAATAAATAATCACTCTGAAATCAGGTCCATAGTTGCCATCTATGAAGGTGAAACAAAGAAGGGAAACGAGAATAAACCACAGACAAGAACATGAGAAAAGTAAAACATGATCCCAGGATCCCCAGGTTTGATGGGAAAAAAAGGTATGCAAACAAGAGAGAGAGAGAGTTTTGGCATCTAGAAGGAAGTCTTCTTAGTTCCCAAGGGCTTGCAATCATGTAGAAAAATCATCATCAAAACAGCACTTACCACAAGAATTCGAGGAGTGATATCAAGACCTTGCTGCTTTATTTTGAGAAGCATTTCATTCTCCAAAGCACGAACTTGATCCAGAATATAAACAATCTGCAATGAATTTGACCAAAGGATATTCACTTCAGCAAATGACTTTATAGGTTGAACCTTGTAATTTAACACAAATTAAAAGGTAAAGAGTGTGAAATAATCAAATGAGAATCTACCTGCCCTCCAGTGTCAGGCAACCCCAGCACATTAGCTTGGCCAAAGTATCCATGAGGAGAAAGAATTACAACATTAAAGACCATAGGAATCAAGCCCAAAAACTTCTCCAAGGTTGATGGATCAGGTGCCTGAAGGATATCTAGAAGTAAATGAATCATCTCTGAAACACGCTGCGCTTTATCGCCCCACCCCTTCTCCAAACCCATTTCTTGGAATCTGCATATGAATGGGACATTAAGCACGTCTTTAACAGTCCTATACAATAAATATATAACCCCCAACATCTATTAATAGAACAGGAAATGCTGAGAGACTAAGGTGATGATTACTTGTGCTCAAAGCTTGAGTATGGTGTATCTGGTGGGATCTTTGACAAATATTCTTCAGCCTTAACCAAAGCAGACTGAAGGCCCGACAAGCTATGAATTCTATCATTCAGCATCATAACCTACACATGAGCTATGAATGTCAACCCTTTAACCCCGACAACTGGTAGAAAATATGAAATTTTGAAATGATGTTTATCACCACAGCTCTTTTCTGTTATTATTTATTATTAATTTCTCAAAGCAGGAAATTTCATCAAGAGAATACATCTCAATCAATGTTGTAGCAATCAGCCAATTGAATACTCAATGCAAGATACATTTAAAGCAGGAACTCCAAAAACTATCACATGACAAGGAGCGCTCTGAAGAACCCAGTATAGTTAAGAGGTAGAAACTATCACATACCAAGGAGGGCACTGAAGAAATAAATATAGATAAGTGGCAGAAACTTACATTCCCCTTGTAATGATGTGCTCGAAGGAAATCGACCAAAGGCTGCATACTCTCTCTTTCATTAAACAATTTTGAAGAAAGGTGGCGATTGAGGAACTGTACACCATTGCCTATGGATGATGAACGATTAGGACGAGGAAATGATGCATTGAAGGGCTCAAAGTCCAGCTCAAGCACAAAGTTATCTTGGCAGCTGCATTGGACAAAGCACGTAATCATTCATATGCAAATCACCAATGAATCAACGCCTCGTCCATATCATATCATATTATGGTATCGGCATAGGTAAAGATGAAATGTAGTAAACAACAACTAGAGAAAGGATCAGAAAGAATTCCTAGAGAAGCAAAAAAGTAAGTACAAAAGACGAAAAAGAACAGTAGCAAATCAATGCCAAAAATAGTTGAAGGTCCTTCGGCTCACGAAACCAATGAAAGATAATTACCTTCCATCTACAAGCTCTTCTTTGAAACGCAGATACTCAGGTACAGTCAACTGCTCCACGACTAGTTCATGTACATTAACACGAACATATTCCCAGACCCCAGGCCTGGGGCGAACAGCTAGTGCCACCCATGGAGGTAGAACGATAGCTTCCTGTAACGTTTGAATGAGATATTGAACTTTCAAGCATAAGTAAATGTGATGTAAGGAGTTCCAGCTATAAGAAACTTAGAAATGAGAGAGAGAGAGAGAGAGAGAGAGAGAGAGAGAGATTCTCTATAAAATCACCTGGGTAGATCTCAAAACATCTCCAAAGAGCCCCTGACTGAGCTTTTGTCTGTCTTCCTCCGCAATCACCTTTTCAAACTCATCTAGCAACTGATGAGGTTGCAAAATTCCTTTCCCTTGCTCCACATACCTGGACTCATTCAAGATTGTAAGCAGAAAGAGATTATAATAGGTTATTTCATGGGTCAAGCTGCACCATAGAAAAGGAAAAACTCGCAACTACAAAACTTTCCGAAAAAAAATGGTCACACCATATGTTGTTTCTCAATAGACTGACTTTTATTGCAAAATGGAAACAGAGTAAATGATGTACATTCTTCTACGTTGCGAAGCTTATGTAAATTACTCATCGGCGACCACCATATCCACACCATTGGGAATGAGAATTATGAGATACATTATAACCACAGATTAATGGTATCATCTATAAATGCATTAAGTTAAATTGTTACCAATGGCAAAAATTTGGTTCTCCAAATAGGGTACTCTGATTCTTCAATGCATAAGAGACCGATCCATTGAAATGGAAAATAAGCACAATTAATAGTGATCCCCAGATTGATACATATGCAAAAACAATACCATCCTTTATATGCTAACCGCAGAGTTTACAAACTAACTTGATACATTATAAACAAGATTATCTTTTCGCTAAGGCGGGGAATAGCGAAGGTTAAGAGGCTCAAACCTGGAAAGAAGGCAAACCAACTCGTTGCGATGAGCGGAAAGGGTATCTTCAACTCTCTCCCTCATACTTAGAACACGAGTCAACCTGCGAGTAGCCATGGCTAGCTTACCCAAAATCCTTTACTTCTGCAAACAAAATCAATAAAACCAACAAATCTTAGGTTAACAGTAGCTCAACACGTTAGATTAAAAGCAACATTAGCATAATTGGCATATTGCTTATTTGTAGGGCGAGAGAGTGAGAGAGGCTTTAAAGAAAGTAATGATGGTGAAATCACCAAATGACACACCCCCAAACTTTAAATCTGCACCAGAAAGCATGTGGAGTTCATTTATACAAGTATAAGTAATAAAGTATTGAATGGCTATTTAAAACAAAGGTTGACCAGAGAGTTTAAAATTGACTAAACTTTTCAAAAAACATCTAGAGAGCCTCTGAAATTTGAGCCTTGCACGCAAACATGATAGAGACTTCGACGATGAAGGAGCAGAATTTCAAACCAAAAAAAGAAAAGATAGCCACGTAAAGAAATGCAACAAATCTGACCCTGAATGATAGATGATCCGCTACAAATAAAGTGAATAAATATAGGGTAAGTATATAATGAGACCATTTACCTTTGGTACAAAGTAGTCACAATTGATCTTGACCATTGGATGTGAGAGTGGGTGGCGGCATTTATTTAATTGACCAAGGTGAAAGTTCAAATGAATTTTTTTTGAACTTTGTAACACATCCAAACTATTAAATTTCACATCCAATGGTGGTAACTATTAAATTTCACATCCAATGGTGGTAAGGAATTGCAACCTCCCTATATTAAAGGTAAATGGTCTCATTGCATACGATCCCATAAATATAAGATGGTTAATATTTTCTCAAAGCACAATACTTTTCTCCCTTTTTCATCATTAATGCTAAAATCACTTTAAAAATAGCAAAAGCGCAGTAATTGCAAAAACTTCAAACAGAGTTTATTTCATCAGAGTAAAATAACAAATAAAATGGAAAGGATGGAAAGGTGTAGCCGTATAAGGTTAAGACAAAAATGTTCCAATTGAAGTAAGTTTAACAGAAAGTTAAACAGAGTACAGAGAAAGAAACTTCACGTGAAGGGAATTAAAGTTGGATCTTGGGGGCAATATTTACCTATAAAATCTTGAAAATAAAAATCGTGTACATCGAATGGAGAATGAGAGACACAATATATATAGGGAGCAAAAGATATGCCAAAGCGAAATTCCTTTTTCACAAAACGTTTCTTGCCTGAAATGAAAAGCCATCACATGGAAGGTCAGAAAGGGAGAATAATTTTACAGAAAACAAACAGCCAGTCGTCCAAAAAGCAAAGGGAATTTGATTACTTTTAAAGAATCTCCAAAAGTAGAACAACTTCACTTGGAGAAAGAAACAAATTTCATCAAAAAGGAAAAGGAAATATGCGAAACAATGGAAGGTGGCCACAAAAGCAATCAAATTTAATTCAAAGAAGAGAATCAGGACTCATGGTCGAAAAGATAAATTGTACAGTTAAGGAAAGAAAGTATCACATGAACTCATAGGAAGAACAGGGTATAAAATGCGGTGATCAATGATTGACTCTCTTTTCAAATATCAGGAGAAAAATAACTGTCTGCAAAAGAAATTAAGGAATAAGATAGGAAAAATGTTCTGGATCCTTGAAAAAGAAAACTGGAACTAAAAATTCATTTTGACAAAATTCATGATCATTTCCTTTGCCAATTGAAGGCCATATGAGCCAAGAAAATAGAAAAAATAATTTCATTTTCGATAGACAAAAATAATAATATAAACTTCAACTGCATTTCGTCCAAACAACCATTTCTAGCACATATTCACTGCAAATCGAAAAGAGCATCAGAAGAAAAAAAACAATAACAGTTCACAGTTCACTTCACTTACTAGGAGAGATGAACCACATCAACCAAAATTTTAGTGGAAATCGTTTTTATAGAGAGAAATGGGAAGCTAAGACCGAGAAAACTCACAAAATACACAGTAGAACTCAAATTCCACCCCAATTTCCCAAAATGAAAATTCAAAAATCCTAATCGCAACTTCTCTGAAATTCATAGCCAAAAGCAATTATAACACGAGATCAAGCAACTATTACCTCTAAAAATCACTCAATCAAACCAAACGAAGAATCACAGAGCCGAAACACTCAAGAAAACGTCGATGATCAAACAAACGATGATTCAACGCTTTGTTCTTGTGGCGATTGGCGTCAAGAGTGGCTCCCTTTTATACAGAATCGGGCCTCAGTCAGGCCGCTGATTGGGTGACTCTATCTCTGTTTCCGTGAAGTCATTACCATTAGCGGTTTCCGACACCGGTTTAGGATTCGTAGGGTCCCCGCCATTTCCATCACAGTACCAGTACGCCATTACTTTATTAATTCCCAAGATTTTCTAGGTCTTTTTTTTGTTTTTTAGAAGCTTTTCTAGAGCTTTTTTTTTAGGGCTTTAATTATTAACTTTCAGGTGATTCTCTGGTTTTTCGCTTTCCTACGTTCAAATGACAATCTTTTCTTTTTTTTTAATCATTTCGAAACTTTTTCTTTTCTTTTCTAAATCTATATTGCACGTGTTTTTTCTGTGTTTTATTATCCTTAAACACTTTGATTTAATTCCATTTTGTATTTTATATTTTGTATTTTATATTTTGTATTTTAAGTAAGCTCTCCGTACCGGAACTAAGAACCTTATCCATTGCACTTAATTTTTCGAGTGGGAGTGTGGGACCCGCGAAGGCACTTTCCCATAGAGGTGAGAGAGTACAAAAACGCGGGCCCAAATACCCTAAACATCTGCGCTAATGACGGGATCAGTGCACTGACACGAGAATTTTACAGTTGGCGCTTGTGGCAAGCTCCCGCGGGTGCGTACTGTACGATAACTCTCTCCGGCAAATGTTTCACATGGATTGCGAGAAACGTAAAAAAAAAAGAGAAAAAAAAAAAGTAACCCATTAATGGGTGTCCAATGGTGCTGATGAAGATTAAAAGGGTGTGCTCTGTATAAGGTTGCAACCTTAAACAATTAAATTAAGTCACATGACTGAATAATGTCATAAATATAATTTTATTATCAAAAATTATTTTATTTTCATATCAAATTATAAAATTCTAAACTCCAAAATAATTCAAATCACGTAAATATATATGCACTTGAAAATCTTAAAAATAGGCTGTCCAGGTAATGTGTTGCTATTACATTATTTTTAGGATTCAAAATTTGTTTTACTTTTTGTATCCATACATCTCTATCAATTATTTTTAAGATTCGAAATATTTTTTACTTTCAATATTCATACATCTCTATCAATTAGAGGGTTTTCTGACATTAAAACAAATTTTTATGATGGATTTTTGAGGTGCACTTTAATTCTACATTTTAAAGTTCGCAACATTATATAATAGATGTGGTTTCTATAAGGTTGCAACCTTAAACAATCCAATCAAGGCGCACGTCTAAAATTTATCATAACATGTAATTTTGGTGTAAAAAATTATTAGAATTATCTCAAAATCTATTTTCATATTTAATTATAAAATTTTAAAATTAAAAAATAGTTAAAATCAATAAGATCTATAAACAAATGAAAATCTTGAAAATAGACAGTCTAGATAAGGTGTTGCAAAATGAACTATTTCTTGGTCTCAAAATCTTTTTTTTTTTCATATTCATACATCTCGGTGTCGAGATGATCAATTAGAGGGCTTTTTAACTTCAAAAAAACTTTTTTCGATGGATTTTTGAGGTGCACCTGTAATTCTAAGTTGCAACCTTATATAACCTTTTTCCTTATATAATTGTTTCCGTATTTAAAGGTCGAACCCACCAATGGAGCCATTTACACTCCTTCCATCACCATCCATTTGATTAATTTTAAGGCTAATTAACTTAACCATATTGTTGGGTCATGGCATCGTTTCCCAACAATGTTTTACTTGTAACATGAATGCTCAATTGGAGCTGGCAATGCACTAGATGATCCGGATTGATACGGTCGGCTTTAAAAAAAGTAGGGCTTGGATCACAAATTATGCCTTGAGGGTCAGGCTAGAGCTAGGGTCATGCCACCATAACTTGAGGATTGGGGACCTGGCCCGGCCTGATCCTTTTTTTTTTTCTCTCTCTTATATTTGGCGCAACCCAGTCCTAATTAGGCCAAGGCCAACCAGGCTCAGCCTGGCCCTATAGGAACTAGGGTCAGACTAGAGTCAAGCTGCCTTGCCCATTGCCACCTCTAGCTCTATATTGCATATGCAATAATATACTTTATCGGGCAAACAAACTATTTTAGAGGATTTTTATATTTTTAAAATTTCTTAATCCAAATTAGATAAGAATTCCAGGATCGGGCAAACGAACTATTTTAGAGGATTTTTATATTTTTGAAATTTCTTAATCCAAATCGGATAAGAATTCCAAGAGGGGGAAACTAATTTTTTGGGTAGCCCATTATGTGGTGTAGATTGAAAACCACATATATGGGGTCCTACCACCACGGCCCGACCCCTTTACTAAAAATACTAGAGTTCCTAAACACTCAAAGCTACACCACAGAAATTGCACTTAGTGCAAATCCGAAAAGACAGAAAGCCAAAAACCATTGTTGGTCCCCATTAGTGCGGTCTTTGTCGCTTCGCTTTTATTCCACATGTTTTTTTTGTTGACATTCCATTTATTTCACTTGTGAACTACCATAATACAACTTCACATGTTGTGAACTATCATTTATTTCACATGTTGCCCCCATAATATCTTTGTTTTTTAAAAAAAAAATTGTAGTTTAAGGTTTCTTGCTTATGTAGTTTTTGAAATTCCACAAAAGAAACCAAAAGCCCTCATAATATGTTTAAATTCCTCCATGAAGTGTGAACATCGAATTTTAAATGAGTTTTCTTGGTCAGACATTGCATAGATGCGCTTAGGGACCTGCCATAATTTAAGGGACTAGCTGGGACGAAACGCTCACCCAAAGGAATTGGGGGCTTTTAAGGTTGAGCGTCTACTTATTGTGCGTGAAAGTTTTAAATCCAATGGGTTAATATTTGATAAATAAAAGATAAAAAATAAAACATCAAACACATACTACAAGAACACAAAGATCGAAGTAATTCACCTTAAAAAGGTTATATCTAAAGGCACGACAATATAAAATTTACTATACCAATGAAAATTACATCAAATATTTTGGAACAAGCCTCGACAAAAAGCCAAATTGAGCAAACATTTTTAAACTACTATCCCTTTTTTTTACTTCTGGCAACCATTACCGACAACACCGGATAAAGACAAGAGAGCAACCTTCTCTTTACTTCTGGTAACTATTATTGACAACACCAGATAAAGATGAGAAAGCAACGAAAAATTGATTTTATTTCTAACTAAAAAGAAAACAACCCAAAATATAATCGTTTCCCTATCAGAAACTATAAAAAACAAGCTTCTCAATCTTAAAGAATCTTCAGGATTAACCATCACAATGTTTCTTTTCATAGGAAGCTCTCGTCTCTCTTAGAGGAAATCTTGCATCTTAGCACAAGAAGCTTTGCTCCCCTCTCTCTCTAGAACCACCATTCTGATATGGTGACTTAAATAGGGCACACAAATTCTCTGCAGTTTCATCTCATATATATATATAATGGGAAAAGTTTATATAGAGCCGAAGCTTTAAACAAGCAAATTTGAGCGTACCCCAGAAAGTTCACTAGACGAGGTTGTTTTGATGCCCAAATATCTTCAAATTTATCATCTCAACATCAAGTTGCATGGACATGAGAAAAAAGCGGATTTCAAGTTTTGAAAATAGTGTATTTTTGTAACACATTTTTTTACATTCAATTTTCAAGATTTTCATATATTTATGGATCTACACTATTTTTTAAGCTTTAAACTTTATAAATAAAGATCAAAATATATTTAAGACTATTACAAATATTTTAAGGCATTGAAACCACATTTCTCGACACTATTTGAAGTAGGCTCTAATTTGATTGTTTAGAGCCTAGGCTCCATACAAAGCGCACCCACATAAAATTAAGAGTCCATACTACATAAAAAACTTCCTATTGATGTTACATATATCTCAAAATACCAAGAGATATATCCAAGAGTCCGAATTCTTTTTTGGATTTTTATTTCTTTATCAATCCCACAAAATATAGGAATATCTCAATCCAACAAAAGATAAGAATATCTCAATCCTACATAATATAAAATTTTCTAATAGGGTAATTTTGGATGGCACCAAATCCAACACTACATTGCTTTCCGAAAGGTGGGTTTTTTATTCACTATAATTGAGGTCTCTCAAGTACTCAACCTGGAAGAGCTCCTTGCAAGGTATCAATTTTTAAGGTATGGTGCGAGTTTGGGTCCAACCCAACATTTCACACAATTAATGTGTCTCTCACTTGTCCATGAACAACCAAATATCCCAAATTATAAGCAAGTGTACCTAATTTGGGCCCTTCTTCACTTTGCGTAACATGGTGAGTACATGATGGGTGCTTTTCATTAGTGCATGTAGCATGCTTTTGCAGGATCATAGCATACATTTACTCTAAGTAAAAGAGGTACGTAATAGTATATTTCGATCTAATATTTTGAGATTTACGATAAAATCACTAGATGAGTGCTTTTCCAAAAAAAAAAAAAAAAGGGAAAATAGAGCAGGTAGATCTGGAACATTGATATTTGGACAGTGCAGATATTTGATCATTGATAATAAAATAAAGTATATAAAAAAAAAGAAAACCATAACATGTGGCCAGCCACATATTGTAGAAATGCGGGCTTGGTAATAAATATATTTTTTAAATATAATTTGATCCTAAATTTTAGAGAATATATAATCTCTAACATAGAGATCATGAACATGAAGAAAAATAAATGAAAATTTAAAATAATAAATATATTAAAAAAACATTTGGACCATTAGTTACAATTGTTTTTAGATGGACTACCTAATTGCATCCATCTTTAAGATGAATGTTTTATACTTCTGGATTGTATATTTTAGAAATGTGGTTCAACCTTCATGAAACAATTGTTCATTAATTAAAAATTGTCTTTCAAGATCCGCCAATTTGCATATAAAAATATTTTCTCCTTTTTACGTTCTTAAATTGATAACTAGGTTGAAGAGGTTCCATCCCCAAAATTTAAGGGCGTTAAAAACAATCATGGCTAGGGTTCTAACATAGGGAGCACGCACCCACAAAAAGTATACAATCTTGACTTTTATTGGGTGAGGGACCATGGTGAGGTCACTTGATGACCGAAAGGTGTAACCATGTAAGCCATAATTTCTTTAAGGAAAATCAAGAGAATTTATTTAAGAAAAATTGTTTA